TCGGCGAATAAAACAAGCTTTCATTCAAGCTCACATATCGGGTAGTTTGCATACACATTAATAATCTTATCTACTAAAAGGGGTTATAAAACATTGGTTAAACTTGCACCGATTACAGGAAACACATCAAACATATTATTTGTTAATATAGTTGCCCTTTTATACTTTTAAATGATTGTCTTTTGAATTGTCTGTGTAAGTCTGCGTTTCCTCTGTTAATAGAGAAAGGAAGGGAGGGAAGCAGGTGGTCAAAAGTCATGTGGTAGTCACATTTAGATCCCGTGTTTGCAGGCCTGAGGGCGTCAGTTAATTTACTCGTCCTTTTCCTGTTTCATATAATAGTTCCATTCATTGGCGGTCACAAGACATCACGATTTATCTATAGGTTATAGTCCTGATACAAAAGATCTCTGTGTTATCTCCTGTTTTTCATCACTCTGAGTAGATGACGACAAGACTGACAGGAAGACCCCAAATATTGGAGTCATGTAATGGGGTGATTAGTTTAGACCTCATGATGGTTTGATTCAATGGCATATCAGTGTCATCCATATTTAGAAATCCTACAGTAGAAACAATTCATTTCAACACACCTACCTACTACTGGTGTTATACATTGTCATTTTGAAATTGAATTGACTTGATTTTTTTGAGTTGACCTCTAAAACGGAATGTCTACATATTTAGCATTTTCTAATTTTTTATTATTTCTGAACATATAGGATATGTTTAAGATAAGTTTGTAACATTTTTCGTTCATATTTCATGCATCTTCTCTGCAAAGATATTTAACAAGTCATATGTTTTACATTTATGTTTTACACCATATTGACCACTTCATATGTACTGCACTTGGAATATAACTTTCTTTAACCAGAATGTTACTTGAATCATGTTGTAATGTTTTTAAGTTGACTAGGTAAAATAAAAAAAATTATCAAAATCTTGAATAGGTCAAATGCTCTGGAAAAAAAATATGCTGAAGAATACAGCCTGTGTTTAAATCGTGAGAAGCCAAGATAATTTGAGAAATATGCTGCATGTTTACTAATGTATATTTATTGATGCAGTGATATTCAGCAATTCAGTGCATGGCATTATAGTAACATACTGTAAAGTAGATAACAGTAGGAGAACTGTAAAATAGTAGTAAATTATAGTAAAATATTGGCAGCAGGGTGGACAGTATTTTCCTGTTAACTTGGATGACTATAGAAATTGCAATGAAATGGTCCGTGGCAATAAGGACCAATGTCCCAACCAATGACTGACTTTAGAAATTTAACTACCTAACCAAACCTAATATTTCACCAGTGCCTTATTTTAGATTACTTATATATTGCATATTATATGTTTAATTAAAATATACTGTATATATAGTTGCCAGTTTTGCATTTTTTTCAGCAAGATAACATAGTGAACTATATACTTTTATGTTTGGCTTCAATGAGTAATTAATTCATTATGTTTTCATAACTGGTTGTACAATTATTTTCTTTCCCTTTAAGCAGCACAGGTGGTTCAACTGAGGCCTGTCAGTCTGATGTGATTGTCAATTTGAAAATGTCAAGAGAAAACAAAAGCAACGAAATCATGGAAAAAGAGCACAGCAATGAAAAGGGCTTAAGTGTTGCACATATTATAAAGAACAACTGGAGCAGAAAATTAGAAGATGGAAGCAATGAAAGCCTACCAATGTTTAAACTCCAGCTGGATGAAACATGGAAGAACGGTGATGGATTCTGCAGAAGAAGTACATTTGGAAAAAACACCAATAAAATAAACAAGAGCATTATGATGATCGGAGCCACGGGTGCAGGAAAAACCACTCTAATTAACAACATGATCAACTACATTCTGGGAGTGGAATGGGAAGACGACTTCCGGTTTGTGCTAATAGACGAAGGGAAGCAGAAATCCCAGGCTGTAAGTCAGACATCACAGATCACAGCATATCAGATTAATCACATGGATGGTTTCCGTGTTCCATATTCTCTGACCATTGTGGACACACCAGGCTTCGGTGATACCAGAGGAATTTCACATGACCAGAAAATCACAAAGCAGATTCAGGAGTTCTTTTCTGCCCGTGGAGGGATCGACCGCATTGATGCCGTGTGTTTTGTAGTACAGGCTTCACTTGCTCGTCTGACACACACACAGAAATACATCTTTGACTCCATTCTTTCCATATTTGGGAAGGATATTGCTGAAAACATTCTTATGATGGTCACCTTTGCAGATGGGAAAAGACCTCCTGTTCTCGAGGCCATCAAAGTCTCCCAGGTGCCCTGTTCTACAAATGAATCTGGAGAGCCACTTCACTTCAAGTTCAACAACTCTGCTCTGTTTGCTATCAATAATAAAACTGCAGAGGATGAGGAGTCTGATTGTGAAAACTTTGACCAAATGTTCTGGAAGTTGGGATTTTCCAGCATGAAAAAATTCTTCACATCCCTTAACAAGATGGAAACCAAGAGCTTGTCTCTGACACGGGAGGTCCTAAAAGAGCGGCAACATCTAGAAGTGCTTGTGGAAGGCCTCCAGCCCCAAATAAATGCTGGTCTGACAAATCTGGATGAAATCAAGAAAACAAGAGCTGCTTTACAGCAACACAAGGCTGAAATGGATGCAAACAAGGATTTTGAATATGAACTACAAGTAACTGTCCCAAAACAGATTGAAAACAAAACAGGCAACTTTCTGACCAACTGCCAAACTTGTCACTTCACATGTCATGATGCATGTGTTTATGCAAATGACAGTGATAAATATAAGTGCTCTGCGATGAAAGATGGAAAATGTAAGATCTGTCCAGGAAAGTGTGCATGGAATGTGCACTTCAATCAAAAATACAAATGGGATTATGTCACAGAAAAGAGAAAGGAAACCTATCATGATTTAAAGAAGCGATTTGAGGCTGCACATGGACAGGTCATGTCAAAAGAAAAGATCTTTGAAGAGCTTGAAAAGGAGCTTACGGCTGTTCAGGGTAATGTTGCTGAATTAATTGAAAAATCTCAAAAGTCCTTAGAGCGACTGCAGGAAATTGCTCTCAAGCCCAATCCTCTTTCCCCCCCTGACTACATTGATCTGATGATTGAGTCTGAGAAACAAGAGGCCAAGCCAGGATTTCGAGATCGCATTCAGTCTTTAATGGAAGTCAGGAAGAAGGCAGAGATCATCAGTAAGGTTTCTACAGGAGACGTGCTTCCAAAAGAATGGGATGCATATACATCCCAGAAAGATCACACTTCTGAGCCAAGCATCTTCTACAGGATGCAGGAAGGTTTAAGGAAATGGTTCAAATGAAGGAAGCAAGCGTTACATTTTAAATGTCACTGTCAGCATACTTTAAAGTAACAGCTTAGAGCTTTTACCCTTTATGTTTAATTACTATAGTACATTTTTATTACGTGGTGAGATGATCTATATGCAATTTTATGACACACAATAAAAAAGGCATATGGTCTTCATCCCATTCCAAATATTTGTCTAATGAAAAAAAGGAAAATTGCATATAAAATGAATGAATGTTATAAGTATTAAATAAATTGAAAATGTATTATAAATGACCAGATAATATGAGAATGCCATGGCTTTTGTGTGATAAGGGCATAAAGAAAATAAAGTTTTTAAAGAAGTTGTTGATGTTATTGTTAAATCCACCCCTGACATTCTTGGCCAGCAAATCAACACAGAAATGCCTAAAAATGTTGCTGACAGCCTCAACATTTATTGTCTTCTCCAGTCTGGCAAACACAGAGAGTCGCTGCACTGTATAAAAAATTCAGTCTCAATGAATTATTATTGAGTAAATTATTAGATTTTTTATGTTCATCCAATTTCTTTCTACAAAACATGATTTGTTATTTGTTAGTTGGCCCAAACTGGAACTTTAAAAAGTATGTTTGCACAAATAGTTGTATAGTTTATTCAACTAAAATGTTTTGAATTTATTACTTACCCATCATAACTAGAAATTGCTGTGGAACTAGTTACTAAATTTGATACTGAGGGTAACAAAATATAATCTGCATTTATAACATGTCAAACTACAAACATTACATTTTCAATACAACAGCAAAATTCATAAAAAAAAAATTGTAATAAAAAATGACCAAGCAAGCCCTTGTAACTGTTCTATAGTTTAAACCCTTTAAATTAAACTTTTTTTTGTTTTCAACTTTTATTTTTATGTTCTTTTAGAAGAATATATACAATTGGATTAATAATGTGTATTATGTAAAACTTATCATGCAAATTAAATGTTAAAATGATCTACTTAAGATATTTCATGAATAACGGCGATTGGCCGATTCAGCATTTTTCGCGCAAAAATGGTTCTAGCGCAACTTTTGAATTTATTTAAAAAGAAGACAACAGAAAAGGTAGGATTTTTCCTTCATTAGAATTGAAAGATTCCCCTGTTATTGTGCTGTATGTGTAACTGTGAGGGACTGAGAGACTATAGGAGAGCTGACATTATCGAGTCATCGTCCTTGCAAAAACCAGACAAAAACACGTCTTGAGAGTCCAAAGGCATTCACTGCGCGATGAAGCCTGTTAGAATACAGGTAAAATAACCTTATAATTCAAGCAATTAAAGAAAAAATACCCATG